GCATCGCCGACGTCGACGGTGCATCGCCGGTGCATCACCGATGCATCGCCGGTGCATCGCCGATGCATCGCCGATGCATCGGCGATGCGGCTCGATCCTCCGACCCCATCTACTCCGACCCCATCTAGGAGGCCCCTGGAGAAGGAGGAGGTCCTTCTCAGAGTGCGGCGGGACTTCTCGGAAGCCCTCGCGCCTCCTGAGGAGGCTTCCATGTCTTCGGGGAAGGCTCGGACAATTTCTCAAAAGCCGCAGGGTTTCCGAGCCTTCTGAGGTAGCCCGCCCCTCCTCACTTCCACACTTGGGTTCGCCGCCGACAAACGGTGCTTTTGCGATTTCTGATTTTTGTGCGTTTTGATGTCGTTTTGCAGCAAAGGATGAGCGAAGGCAGAACGCGAGGGATAGCAGAAACACTGGGAGAACGGAAATCAATATTTCTCTCGAGCCCTGGGACATCCTGCTCGTCGCATGCCGCTACCCTTTGCCCGCTGTCCCCTTCTAAGGCCTCATGTGAGGCCCTCGTCACCACCGCTGGATTCGCCTCGAAATCCTAATCAGCACGCACCCCAGGAGAGATCTGGGGAGTAGCAGTATCAGTACCTCGTGGCTTCCACAGAGTCCCGACACGATTGTCGCCGACGGTGTTGGCGCATCGCCGACGTCTTCGATGCGTCGCCCAAGCGTCGCAAATGTTTCGGCGATGCGGCGCGATCTTCTGCGCGATCTTCTGACCCCAACAACTCGGACCCCATTACCCAGCGTTTCCTCCTCCTCCTGACGCTGACGCTGTAGACACGTTAATCCACAGGGACGCTGCCATCCTCTTCCCTCCGCCTCCTCCTTCCCCTCCTCCTTCTCTTCCTCTTCCTCCTCCTCCTCCTCCTCCTGTTCCTGCTCCACTCATCCTCCCTCCTTCCTCACGCCTCCAGTCCTTCTCCACCTGCGCCCTCCTCCACTCTGCCTCCTCCTCCTCCTCCTCCTCCTCCTCCTCCTCCTCCTCCTCCTCCTCTTGCGGGGGCTCCTGCCGCAGCAGGTAGACCACACGCCCTCTCTCAGACAGGTCCCCCAGGAAGCGACGTGGGATGCCTCTCGCGCTGGATGCCGCGTGCGGATTCTTGCAGCTGCCGCGGCTGGCACGAAACCCAAGTTCAGTGCACATTCCCCCCCTCCCCCTCCGTGTGAACCTTTGCCCCAACTCTTTCAGTCGGTGGTTGCCAATCGCCGTCAAGCCTGGAAACGTCTACCACAACCAGTCGGCGGGGTGGGCGAGCGGCGGGGGTAATGCGTGCAAGTAATCGAGAAGTTCAAACCTTCTTAGCAGTGGTCGGTCCTGAAGCCCCTCGCAGGCGGCTGGACCACCAGCCATCGTATCCATATCTGTTGTGGTACTTGCAACTGCCTTCTCATGTGCTCTCAGCTCGATGCCAGATCTTACTATCCCTCAGGCCCTGTCCTCCTCGATCGCCTCCGTCTTCCATCCAATCCCTTGACCTTCCTCAGCGCCGCCGCTAACAGCGAATACCTGTGCCAGCATGCCTGCCCCCCCACCACGCTCAAACGCGATGAGGCTTGGCGCCTTTGCTCCCCATGCGTTCCAGATGCCCAGAGCTGCGGTGACCCATGCGGGCCTGCTCACGGACACCCGGCTGGGTGCAGCGCGCGCCTCCGCCCTGCAAGCAATTGGGTGCTCGGCTCAGAGAACCTGCCGCACCTCAGCTACGGTCGATCCTCTTCCTCCTCCCCCCCTCTCCAGGCACCGAAGGCGGTCCGAGCGCGCCTCGGATCGGTGCCGGCGCGTTCCTCCCCCTCTTCCTGTCTTTCTCTTCCTCCTCCTCCTCCTCCTCCTCCTCCTTTTCCTTCCGTAGCCATTTGGGCTCGAGCTCTGTGTGGACCTCTGCGTCCCGAGCCCTGCGGTACCTCGGCGCCCGCTCCTCATGGCACGGCCGCGTGCCCGAGACGATGGGGCCCTGGCGATCCTCGCGTCCAGCTGCCAGCGGGCCCTGGATCTCTTCGCCACGCACCAGGCGCGGCACGTCCCCACCATCCGTGATGGCCTGATGTTCGCCAAAGGGCCGCCCCCCGTCGCCTAGACAAGCGGGTCGTCAAGCAGCTGGAGGACCTCAACCACGCGTTCAAGGTGGTGCGCCACCTCACCAGGTTCCACGCCGACACCGTCCTGGACGGTCTGGAGCGGGAGCTGCGGAGGCTTCCGGGCCCCTTGGATGCCGTGCCTCATGGAGCCGATCAGGGTGCTGTCGTTCTTCATGGAGATGCTGGTCATGGTGCTGACGGCCTTGGAGGGGGCAGCCTGTCTCGCGATGCTGAGACACAGACGGCCTTGAAGTTACATCACTTTGAGTTGGCTGATGGGGTGGCCATGGACGGTACCGACGCTCACGAGTACGAGGAGGACTTCTTCCCAGGCGCCGCAGTGGGTGGACTTTCAGCTGATCCTCCGGCGGATCCTCATGATGGAGGTGCACGGGGTGCAGGTGATCTTCCTGGCGATCTGCATGGCGATGGCGATGCCGATCTTCCCGCAGGTTGTCCCGATGGTGATCTTGAGGGTGCTGGAGGGCTTCCTTTATTTCTTCACGATGGGGAGCGTCATGGTGCTGACGGGCTTCCTGGCGTGCCTCCTGCCGATCTTCCTGATGGAGGTCTTCATGGTGCTGGTGGTATTCCTGCCGATCTTCTTGAAGATGCCGATTCCCCTGCTGGTCCTCGTGGTGCTAGTGATGCTCATGATGATCTTCACGCAGGTTGTCACGGTGGTGATCTTCAGGGTGCTGGAGGGCTTCGTGCCGAGCTACCTGCAGATCTTCACTGTGGAGGTCTCAAGGATCCTGGTGGGTTTCCCGCCGATCTTCCTGTTGATGCTGTTTTTCCTGCTGGGCTCCGTGGAGCTGGTAATTGTCCGCCTGCCGATCGCCCTGCAGGTCTTCACAATGGGGTTCTTCATGGTGCTGGGGGTCTTCCTGCCGAGCTCCCTGCAGATCTCCACGGTGGTGATCTTCATGGTGCTGTTGGGCTCCCTGCCGTTCGTCCTGCTGCTGCCGGTCTTCCTGGGGGACTCCGAGGTCTCCATGGTGCTGGTGGGCTTCCCGCCGATCTTCCTGCCGGTGCCGATCTTCCTGCTGGTCCCCGAGGTGATGACGATCCTCTGCCTGCCGATCTCTGTGCAGATCTTCCTGAGGGTGGTACTCATGCTGCTGAAGGGCTTCCTGCCGAGCTCCCTGCAGGTCTTGACGATGGTGGTCTTCACGGTGCTGGTGGGCTCTCTGCCGTTCTTCCTGCTGTTGCCGATCCTCCAGATAGTCTTCGAGGTGCTGGTGATCTGGATGACGACCGCCCGCCCGACACTCGGGCCATCCAGGCGGAGGCAGATTCTTTCGTGCCCAACTCGTTGCTGGTGCTGCGCGCCTCGCGCTACACGGGCAAGGCCAAGGAGCTCCCCTCGATCGACTTCCACATGGCAGTGGACCAAGCGCCTGCAGTGGGCAAGAAGAAGGGCAAGCGGAGATGAGGTGTCAGAGTGACCACTTTGAGGTCAGGGTCTTCCTGGTCTGGCCTCTTGGGTACGCTGCTCGAGGCATGGGTTCATCTTGGAGTACGAGTACTTCTTGGATGTGGCCTCCGTGGCGTTCTTCTCTCGGGGAGTATGTGTACTGCCTGGGGTTCGTGGGTGTGCTCGGCTGGGTGTTCGGGCATGGACATCACTGATGCTAACCATTTCGGCGTCGTCATACCATGTTCCTCCTGCGCGTCTATTTCCACCTGTACTGCTGCTGGGTTAATGGCATCTTCCTCACGGTGGGCCTGACCCTCCCTAAAGGGGTGTCTCGTCGCCGATTGATCGTTGGTCTCCTCCCCCCTGGGGGAAAACAAACAAAAAAAACTCTTCCTCCTCCTTCTCCTCCCCCCCCTGTTCGTCTTCGCCTCCCGTGCTCACGAGTTGCAGCTCGAGTGGCTGGATGCAACGAGGCCGTAGCAGGCTTATCCTGCCGTGGCTGCCCCCATCCAGGTCCACCGCCGCGCTTGCACAGTGTGGTATTTTTGCAATGATGTGATTAATTGTTTCTCTCGTGCGCGCGGTAGGTATGTTCGCACTCGTACAGTGGAACGACCATAGCGCGGACAGCGAACGTCTCTTCGACATCTCCGAAGAATTTAGAGATGCGGTCATTGTGGCCGCCACAAACACCCGGGGAAAGAGCAGCGCCACACTGTTCGGCGGTCAATACTGACCTAAAGTTTAAATGTTGTCGAGGTGCGGTTATCTAGCAGGCACTCATGTGAACACATCGTGTGTCATCGCCTTCTTGCTACGGAAACGGGTCTTCAAAAGCATGACGTGGCCGATGTCCTTGCTGCAACATCGGGCTCACGTACTACGAAACCCACCCAGCGAGCTACATAGACCACGTCGCCGTGGTCTCGTGACAGATCGCGACAGTGTCGGCGTGCGTGGTTTTGTAGCGAGCACACATGCGTATAAAGTTGTTCGGGAGGATGGGGTTGCAAGGTCACGTGTCTTTGGTATTCAAACAGGACAACGAGCTTGGCCTCCATCATTCGAAAGCCCCGTCCGCGCGTTGCGATTTCGATTTTTTCTGGCCGGCGAATCGTGCGAGGGAGTGGGGGTTCCGGAAATAATGATGGATCTGGGGGACAGACTTGGATTCACGGGGGGCACTCGCGATCAGCTGCTGCGTGAATGGCCTCGCGATGCTGCGCGGGACAGATGGGCGACAACCGTGCGCGGGACAACCGAGCGCCACTTCTCAGCAATAGCACGCCTGATCCCAAGATGCAGCAGCACCGGTGGATGAGTCATCTCCATCAAGAAAGGCGTCAGTCACAAGAGGACGGCATTTGCGATTTAATTTCCAGCATGTGTTTGGCGAGGTGCAGTCGGTGGCTTCTTCATCGGCGACGCGATCACCATGCCGACAAGACGGATGCCCTGTTTTTTCGATAGCCGATGCCTGGGGGCAGCAGAATCGCGCGGAGGTCTGGGGGCTCGCTTGCGCGCCGGCTGGACAATGTCGCGGCCCAGGCATCGTCGCCTGAACGTCATGGAATCGCACGCGCCCAGGATCGAGGAGATACGCAATCATTTCCCAGAGTCCAGGGCATGAAGGAGGCTTCTTGGCTGCGCCGGTGTCGTTTGACATCTGCCAGCGGAGGTCACTCGAGGACGCGCCAGCTCCGTGGCTCTTCGGGGGCGACGCCTTTTCGCTTGCGGAGAAGGCCCTGAGTCGCAAGGCGGCGCCGCTGCATTTCACCCCGTCGGAGTTGATCACGACGGCGCTGGACCCGACGAGGCGGCGCGACGGCGCCCGCCGCGGGCCGCGGAGGAGAGACAGAGACGACGGCGACAGCGAGTCAGACGAGTGGCAGCCACCACATCAGGCTGAGCTCATTCCGCGACATTGGCCAGCAGAAGATCGACGCTGGCGGGCGCCGCGGCGGCTCCGCCGCGACGCAATTCAGCCTCGAAGCGTGGCGACGCTATTTCTCCATGTGAAGCGAGTTCGCCGCGCGCGAGATGAGCGGCATCATTTGCGCGCAGCGGACTGAGACAGGGGGGGGGGGGGGGAAGGCTCCGCCGCGCGGAGTCGCGCGCGCGGCTTGCGCCGCGTGGACGCGATACGGTGCGCAGCCAACCACCGTCTGAGGCCTTCTGATGAGGCCCCAGATCAGGGGCTCGGGCATCGCCGCGGCAAGAGTGGAGAAGGCGCGTGGACGTGCCCAGAGGTGTTGCCGCGGCGCCTCAGAGCGCTCGGAGCCTTGGTCACTGCGAAAGAAGGTCAGGCGAATGTATTTGGGCGTTCAACTTTGTCGTCGCTGCGCTCGGCAGCGGAGGCCGCGACTCAAGATGCAACTCATTGCTGCTTGCGTCGGCGTCGCCGCCCACCGCGACCGCCCACCTAATCGGGGCTGGTTGCCCGCGAGCCGGCGCGCCCCCATCGCCCCCTGCTGATCGCCGCTGCGTCCCGCGGCCGGGCGAGTCGCGGCATTCGGCGCGGGCCTTCATTTTGCAGCGCCCAGCGGTTCCCGCGCGTCGCATCTACGCGGGCGGCGCAATCAAGACCCGCGCAGTCGCCTCGACCAGGAATGCCAGTGCGCTCGAGCAGGCGCGCTCGCGCTCGCAAGGTTCGTTGATTATCGGCTGCCGGATACCCCGGCAATGTGGGCAACACTAGCATCTCGCCCTCCTATGTGTGCAGCGGTGCGAAATTGCGCAGCGATGCTGTGTTCGGGGGCAATTTGAAGCGCCCCTGCCAAGTGCGTTTTGCGTCGGGTGTTCAGATTGCCGTGCGCGGGCGCGTCCAGTAGGAGCTTTGGAGCCACGTCTTCACTGAGCGGGTGGGACTGTTGCTCAATCGGCAGGTCAGGGCATGGTTCCTGGCCGGGTCTGGGAGCTCACGCAGACGGCATTCGGTGCCGTGGCCCAGGGCGCGCTGCCGCCAGGGCGCGCTGCCGCCAGGTCGCGACATCCGTTCTCGACTTCCGAGCAAGCGCGAGCAGGCGCGAGTTCGCAGCGCGCACGAGTGGGCTAGGCAGATGCAGAAGCTGGGCTCGTCGCGCGCGCTCGCGGAATTATTCCGCATCTCCCGCGCGTGCACGGAAAGCGTTGCCAAGCTGTCCGCTCGCTGACGGATCCGCGCATGGCGAAGGTGCGTCGTGCGTGCGTCACCCAGCTGGGCGTCGAGCTGCGTCTGGGGGTGGTTTCTTGGTCACGCGCGGAGCGCGTCTTCCAGGTCGCGATCGAGGAGTTTGGACATCGATGGGTCAGCCCGGGCAGGGCGCGTGAGTCTGGCGCTAGAATTGCACATCCTCGGGATGGCCTCCCAGGTTCGACGTCGCCGTTGGACGCAGGCGCCAGATAGCAGAAACTTAGCCTCGAGCCAGGTTCGGAGTCGCCGACGTCTTCGCTCGGATCTGCATTTCCTAGGGGCGGCCCCCCAAGTTCACAGTCGCAGTTTTGTGGGCGCGAAGTGGATCGACGCGGGCATCGCGCACATCTTGCGGGGATGAGTCGATGGTGCAGTTTCTGTTGGTTGCTGCGACTTCGGCCAGCTAAGATTCGAGGTTTGCCAGGTCAAGCTCGAGGGTGGCTGGCGCGACTTCCTCGGTGACGCGGTCTGCCTCGTTGGAGGTCATATTTGTTCCGAGGGAGGCCAGGTCCGCGTCGCAGGTGTTTCGTAGATCGGGTTTTTTGACGGCCAGGGCATACAGGCCTGAGCCAGGGAACCTAGGCCCGTGCAGCCGTTGCCATCGATATCCCAAGAAATATCGAGTTGCGTATGCAACCCATTGGCGAGTGTTTCGGGCTTTCTTTGGACTTGGAGCCATTGGGAGGGCCCCATCATGCGTGTCAATGCGTTGTAAGATGGATGTGCTGCTTAGCGCGAGCCGTGGTTCAGCGAGGCCAACTCCGGTTTCCCACCCTTTTTGTTGGGAGCCTTCCACATTTTCGCACGGTATGCCGCACATGGCGTCGTGTTGCTCGGCGCGCTTCGCGATGTAGTCCGATCTCGTAGGGAGACATTCGGGCCAATACCGTTTCGCCGCCGCCGCCTGTTCCTCCTTTTCTTTATCCTCTTCCTACCTCGTCCTCGTCCTCCACATCTCCCCGTCCTGTTTTTCCTGTTTTCCCTTCTTCCCTTTCTCACCTGATTCCATCGCGTCCCATCCGTCCAGTTTTCGTCGCCATGGGCCCTCTATTGGGCCCCAGGGCCGTCGGAAACATGCTCGGCCTCAGAAGTTAGTCCTGAAGAGCAGGGTCCAGATCTAACTGGTGAGCTGCCACGTTGTGAACAACAACAACAACAACAACAACAACAACAACAACAACAACAACAACAACACGACGTCGGAGATCCGCGAGGGCTTCTGGAAAGTTCAGCCTGGAGGCTGGAGGGTTGTGTAGTGGCGAAGCGACGGAATCGGATAAGGGGAGCCGTTGTGCGAAATTTGTGACGTGCGACCAATTCCAGCCCTGCGACACCAGCTGCAAGCAACTGGTGCCGAGCTCTTCTCGTCCCCCCCATCGTTTGGGAGGCGGGAACACTGGGTGAACCGCGAGAACACTGGGCGGGAAGCGCATCCGATAACTAGTCGTCTGCGCGGTCCGAATTCATCGGTTCCGACCCCATGGGTGCGGGGAGGCTTTGCGCGACTGTGCCGCGCGTGGCGCATTCGCAGAGGGGACCTCTTTTCGCGGACTGTCGAGACCGCGAGGGCATGCACGGACGCCCGGGGGGGGGGGGAGGGAGGGGCGGAGACGGGTTTGTAGTGTTTGTTTGTTGCTTGCCGCGTGTCGCTGGGTTGCACGTGGGCGTCCCTGGCACACGGCCCCCCCGGGATTTCCAAGGGCCCACCTCTCCAACGGCTCCCCCCCGCGGCGCCCACGGCAGTTCGTCGCGAGGCCCCGCGGAGAGCCAGAAGGGAAGGGGGTCGACGGCGCGGACAGTGGCGCGCACGCTGCCCGCGTAGGGTCGCGCGTGAGCCCCCCCCCCGCGCGGTGAGCAGCGCTGGCGGCCCGCGAAAGCCGCCGCGCGTCGGTGTGCCATCTCGCGTAAGAGCCGTTTCGTGTTGGTCGCCCTGATGGCCCCAGGGGGCTCCAGAACCGGACCGAGAGACGGAGGGTCGCCGAGAGCAAGGAGTTCCTCCGGCAGCCTCCTCGAACCCCTCTCCGCCTGCGCGGGACCGATCTGGGATGCAAAATGCCCGGCCCCGTGGAATGGGCCGAGAGTTCAGGCGGCCCACGCGTCGTCGTCGTCGCAGTCGTCGTCGTCGTCGTCGTCGTCGTCGTCGTCGTCGTCGTCGTCGTCGTCGTCGTCGTCCTCGTCGTCGTCGTCGTCGTCGTCGTCGTCGTCGTCGTCGTCGTCGAGGTCTTGCTGATGTCGGACGCGCGCCGCGATCCGTCACAGCGCTTGGACCCCCCGAAGGTCTCGACCCCTTCGGAGGAGGTGGAGGAGGAGGAGGAGGAGGAGGAGAAGGAGGGGGAGGAGGAGGAGGAGAGGAGAAAGAGGAGGAGGCGGAGGAGGAGAGGAATAGGAGGAGGAGGAGGAGGAATAGGAGGAGGAGGAGGAGGAGGAGGAGGAGGAATAGGAGGAGGAGGAGGCGGAGGAGGAGGCGGAGGAAGGGGAGGAGGAGGCAGAGGAGGCGGAGTCGGACTCTTGGGCCGTCTTGGGCCGTCGGAGAGCTGAGAAAATACAATGCCACAAATCTTCAAAAGCCCTAGGAAGATCAATGATGTTGGCCCTGTCGGACCTTCCTGGAGGACGTCTTGGAGGGCTCTTGGGCCGTCTTGGAGGCCTCTTGCGGGCCTTTTGGGCAGTCTAAGGCCATCTTGAGGCCATATGGGGCCGTCTTGGGTGCATCGTGGGGCCATCTTCGCTGTCTTGACGGCCATCTTGGCCGTCTTGGAGGCATCTTGGAGGCCATCTTGGCCGTCTTGGAGGCCGTCTGGGGCTTCTTTGGGGCCCTCTTGGGCCGTCTTGGGGCCTTCTTCGGGTCCTCTTGTGGGCCTCTTGGGCCGTCCTGGGGCCGTCTTGGAGGCCTCTTGGGCACTCTTGGGGCGATCTTGATGGCCTCTTAGGCAGTCTTGGGCCGTCGGAGAGCTGAAAAGGAGCAACATCCAACATCCTTCAGGCTCTTGAGCCGTTTTGGAGGCCTCTTGCGGGCCTTTTGGATAGTCTTAGGCCATCTTGAGCTCTTGGGCCGTCTTGGGTGCATCTTGAGGATATCTCCGCCGTCTTTGAGGCCATCTTGGCCGTCTTGGAGGCATCCTGGAGGCCATCTTGGCAGTCTTGGAGGCCATCTGGGTTTTTTGGGGGGCCCTCTTGGGCCGTCTTGGGGCCTTCTTCGGGTCCTCTTGTGGGCCTCTTGGGCCGTCCTGGAGCCGTCTTGGAGGCTTCTTGGGCAGTCTTGGGGCGATCTTGATGGCCTCTTGAACAGTCTCGGCCGTCGGAATCCGAAAAGAAGCAGAAGCCCAAATTCTTCAAACACTTATGGAAAATCAATGGTATTGACCTCTTCGGGCCGTCCTTGAGGACCCTGGAGGACCTCTTCGAGACCTCTTGGGCCGTCTTGGAGGCCTCTTGGAGGCCTCTGGGCCGTGTTGGGCCGTTTTAGGTGTTTCTTGTGCGAACTTGGAGGCATCCTGGACTCTCTTGGGCCGTCTTCCAGGCCATCTTGGAGGCCATTTTGGAGCCGTCTGAAGCCGAAGAACCTTTTGCTGCCACATTTTGCGCACCCTTCCAGGTGGCTGGCGGGACGGGCCGAAGCCCCAGTGGGAGTTCTTTTGGAAAAAGTCGAAACCAAAATCGACAGGGTTTAGCACGCCGGGCCCCCCGGTGGCAAGCCAACAGGGGGCGGCGGATCGAAGACGCCTACGGCGAATCACCGACGCCCCCAGCCTTTTTGGAAGCGCCTGTGTGGCCGAAAGTTGGGTTTGAGCTTGGTCAAGCTATCGGGCCACGCGTTCCCCGAGTGGGTTTCGCAAGCCTTCTGGGAACACCGAGTCGGGCGAGCTATCGGACCAGGTGGTTCCGAGCATTCGGGCCTCCTGGAGGCGTCTTGGAGTGGTCTAGGGCCGTCTTGGAGAACGCTGGCTGGACTGTTGGGCAGTCTAAGGCCATCTTGAGGCCATACGGGGCCGTCTTGGGTGCATCTTGGGGCCATCTTCGCTGTCTTGGCGGCCATCTTGGCCATCTTGGGGGCATCTTGGAGGCCATCTTGGCCGTCTTGGAGGCCATCTTCGGCGTCTTCGGGGCCGCCTTGGGCCGTCTTGGGCTCTTCTTGGGGCCGTCTTGGGGGCCTCTTGGACTGTCATTGGGCCATCTTGGATGCCTTTTGGGTCGAAAAGCCGCAATCTTCGAAAACACCGAAGGGAAATCAATGATTTTAACCTTGTCGAGCCTTCCTGGAGGACGTCTTGGAGGGCTCTTGGGCAGTCTTGGAGGCCTCTTGCTGGCCTTTTGGGCAGTCTAAGGCCATCTTGAGGCCATATGGGGCCGTCTTGGGTGCATCTTGGGGCCGTCTTGGCTGTCTTGGAGGCCATCTTGGCCGTCTTGGAGGCATCTTGGAGGCCATCTTGGCAGTCATGGAGGCCATCTGGGGCTTCTTGGGCGCCTCTTGGGCCGTCTTGGGGCCTTTTTGGGGTTGTCTTGGGGGCCTCTTGGGCCGTCCTGGGGCCGTCTTCGAGGCTTCTTGGGCAGTCTTGGGGCGATCTTGATGGCCTCTTGAACAGTCTCGGGCCGTTGGATCCCGAAAAGGAGGAAAAACACTTCCATGAAAACCTCAGGGAAAGCCAATGATTTTGACCTCTTCGGGCCGTCCTTGAGGACCCTGGAGGACCTCTTCGAGGCCTCTTGGGCCGTCTTGGAGGCCTCTTGCCTTTGGGGCCGTCTTGGGCCGTCTTAGGTGTTTCTTGATCGAACTTGGGGGCATCCTGGACTGTCTTGGGCAGTCTTCGAGGCCATCTTGGACCATCTTGGGCGAACTAAGATGCCATCTTGAGCCATTTTGGCCATCTTGGAGCCGTCTGGAGGCAAACAACTTTTTGCAGCTAGTGCATCTCTGCGCGCCCTTCTGGGTGGCCGGCGGGACGGGCCGAAACCCCAGAGAGAGTTCTTCTTGAACAAAACCGAAACCAGCATCGAAAGGGTTTAGCACGCCGGGCACTCCTGTGGCAAGCCAACAGGGAGCGCCGGATCCTAAAGGCCTTCGGCCCTTCCCGCCACCGTGCCTGGGTTGTGGGTCTGAGGCCTCTTGTATGTGTTGGGGGCGTCGTGAGGAGCCTCTCGGGGGCCTCTTTGAGGCGGTTTTGGTCGCCTCTTGGGGGCCTCGTGGGGTATCTTTTGGGCCGCGTCTTGGGCGCCTCCAGGGGCCTCTTGGCGGCCTCTTGGGGCCTCTTGGGGCCTCCTGGGGGCTTCTCGGGGCTTCTCGGAGCGCTTCTTGGGCCATCTGGGGGCCCTCTTGGGCCGTCTGGGAACCATCTTCGGACGCCTTGGAGCACTCTTGGCCTCAGCAATGCGAATAGAATACGACGTAATGTGCGAAGGTTGATGGGCTCGGTGACGCGAACATTGCGTACTTTACGAGAGTTTGTTGTTCGGCGACGTCGAATTACGTAATTTGCATGGGTTTATGGCCTCCGGGATGCGATATTGAAAAATTTACAATGGATTTTGGATTCGGCGACGCGAGTCTTGTGTAATTTACAAGGGTTTATTGCCTCGGGGACGCCAGGAATTTGTAATTAGCATTGGTTTGTGGCCTCGTGGACGCGATCATTGTGTAATTTACACTGGAATATGGCCTCGGAGCCCCGAGTCTCATTCATTTTTACGTGTCCCACGCCCCACCAGGAATTCAGAGCACCCGATCCGAAGGTGGTAAATTGCCGGTTTGAGGCTCCCCCCCATCGCGCGGATTTTGGCAATTTACAGAAGGAAGCAGAAAGCAGGACTCTGACACCGGGGACTTGCAATTGCAATTGGTGGCCCCACAAAGGGGGCTGGCTGATTTTCTCTAGAATTCGTTTCATTATTGTTGTATGATTGTTATTTTCTCCTCCTTCCGCTTCGTTCAAGGCGCCCACTGGCCCCCATTGTCCTCGCATGCGCCCACTGCCGTGATGCGCTGACCCCGTCTCCCTAGCTCCAACTCTTTGGCGCACCCGTCTCTGTTGTCGTCGTGGCGTTGGTTTCGTCTCCGCCGCCGCCACCGCCGCCGTCGCCGCCAGCGCCGTCGCCGCCAGCGCCGTCGCCGCCAGCGCCGCCGTCGTCGTCGTCGTCGTCGTCGTCGTCGTCGTCGTCGTCGACGCCATCGTCGTCGTCGTCGTTGACGTCGTCGTCGGTGGCCTCATCGGCTTCGTCTTCGTCATCGTGGTCGTTATCGTCGTGGCCCCGTTGCCTTCGTCAGCGTGGTCGTAATTGTCGTCGTCGATGTCGTCCTGGTCGCCGTCGTAGCCTCATCTCCGCGGGGTCGCCGCCGTCGTCGTTATTCCGCGTCGTCTTTGTCCTCGCCCCCGCGGGGGCGTCGCCGTCGTGGGGTCGCCGCCGCCGTCGTCCACGTCGTCGGTGGTCTTGTCGGCGTCGTCTTCGTCCTCGTGGTCTCTGTCTTTCTGGTTGTCGTCGTTGTCGCCGTCGTGGCATCTTCGCCCTGGGGCCGCCACCGTCGTCATCATTCTGCGTCGTCTTTGTCCCGTCGCCGTCGTGGGGTCGTTGTCGTCGTCGTCGTCGTCGTCGGCGTCGGCGTCGGCGTCGGCATCGGCGTCGTCGCCTTCGTTGTCTATGCCCTCAGGTACGCTCCGCAGAACTATGTGTGCTCCTCGCCCCCTGCCGCGCGAGGAGGGAGGGGGGGGGGCTGGTTGGTGGAGGGCAGAGAGGGGGCGCATCCGAGGGAGGAGGAGGAGGAGGAGGAGGAGGAGGAGGAGAGGAGAAGGAGAAGGAGAAGGAGAAGGAGGAATCGAAGGAGGAGGAAGAGGAGGAGGAGGAGGAGGAGGAGAGGAGGAGGGGGAGGGGGAGGAGGAGGGAGGAGGAGGAGGAGGAGGAGGAGAGGAGGAGGAGGAGCAGGCAGGAGAGGAGGAGGAGGAGGCGGCACGTCGAGGAGCACGGCGGCAGTGGGGCGGGGGGGGGGCGGGGCGGGAGGAGGCGCGGGGCAGGGCGGCGGCTGGCTGGCTCGGCCCGCTGCTCTGCGCTTCGCCCGCGCTTCCAGGCGCCCGCCTTGGGGGCGTCCTCGGGGCTCAGTTCGATTCCTCCGATCCGATTTCGATGGCCTCACATTCCGATGCGATTCGACTTCGGATTCCGATTCGGATTGCGGTGTCGCAATGGAGGCTTGCTAGCCTGCCGATTTCTGCCGATCCGGCTTCTCCCGACGCGGCTGCCGATTTCCGCCGATCCTATTCATTTCGATCGCCGATCCGACTCGTCGATTCGATTTTGGGCTTTCCTGCCTTCTTGGGCGTCGCGTGCAGTCAACCCGCATGGTGTGGATGGGCAACCTTCCCAAGGGGTACCCTTGCATCCCTGCCCTTTTCGGCCCATCCCCAGCGACTTTCGCTGGCCAGCCTGGTTCGAACAGAAATATTCACACGGGCATCAAAGGCCCTTGCACCCCTACCGCGCATCGTTATGAAACGGGTTGACTGTAATTTGGGGGCCACATGCGAGCCCTACCCCTACCCCCCACGATTTCTGAGGGGGAGGGTGGGGCTCACTTCGTTCGGGAGCTCCCGAGCGAAGTGAACCCCACCCTCTCCCTCAGAAATCGTGGGGGTTAGGGGTGGGGTTCGCATGTGGCCCCCTAATGATGGAGGAAGGACGGTCAGTGGAAGGGGGCAGCGAAGGCTGCAGAAAAGGGGCCCTCCAGGGCCCCTTCCGGGGGAGTCCTTTCGGGTCACGAACGGGGGCCTCCAGGGCCCCTCCTCCTCCTCCTCCTCCTCTGCCGCCTCCTCCTCCTCCTCCTCCTCCTCCTCCTCCTCCTCCTCCTCCTCCTGCTCCTCCTGCTCCTCCTGCCTCCTCCTCCTCCTCCTCCTCCTCCTCCTCCTGTTCCTCCGCCTCCTCCTCCTCCTCCTCGGGAGGCTCGCCCCGCCGCGGCCGCCCCGCCTCGCTGCGGCAGGGGGGGGCCCTTTGGACGCCCTCGCACTGTCTCTTCCTCTCTCTCCCAGGCCTCCTCGCGCTGTGAAAAAAACAGATGCACGATGGGAGGTTTTGCGCGATGTTCTCGGAGGTGGAAAAAGGTACCCATACCTCTACCTTCCATCCGTTTCCCCTTTTTGGGCCTCCTTGGCGGCCCTCGTCGCCAACGCTGGATTCGCCTCGAAGTCCTGGTCAGAACGCGCCATGGGAGAGGTCCGGGGGGGTAGCGGTATCGGTGCTTTTTCGTTTCCCCATGCTCGGCCTCCAGGGGACCCTTACCCAGGCCTCGGGACCGTCCAGCAACGGCTCAGGATGATAAGCCGGTCCGGGGGAATAGGTC